GCAGGGTGTGGAAGAGACTAACAAGCTAGTTGGGTAATACTGAAAGCAAATAAAACAAAGAAGTCTCAAAAAAATTACCCCACAGAGAAATTAAAAACAACAAGCCAGAAGGCTGTGACTGCACCACCCATCATGGAATCACTTCCCATTTCACCTGGCAGACCACCTTCTCCACTTCCAGGAAGGTACTATTTTTAAAGGTTGCTGAGAACCAGCAGTGCTGATATGTTTGGGTCAGGATTTTCCTACACCAAAACCACCATTTCATGGACAAAAGACACTGAGGAAAAAGAACCCTTCTACTATAGATTGCATTTATGTGATCCATCCCACGCCTTGATGGCTGTGGTGGGAGGAGGCAGGGATCCAGGGTGCCAGGATTCCCCAGAATGATGGGAAGTTGTACAGAGCAATGAGCAGCCCAGGGAGAGCAGAGCATTGCACAGGTTCACATGCACCATCCATCACTTGCTGACTGCATCATTTTCTTTTTGCACACACTTGTATGGAAATTCAACTACAAAACATTCCTACAAACTGTTCCTTGATGTGCAAATATAGCTTGAAATGACTTCTCTAGGAAAGAATCCTCACTATTTTATACAAATTGTCTTGCATGTTTATTACACAGAATCATAATCCAAAAAGAAGGGGATTCAGTCCATGTCTATCCCTAACCCTGCTCTCCCTCATGCATTACGAGCTGGAACACATTCCAGGCCCCCTCACATGACAAATGATACTTGCTTTGCTCTTCACTTCCAGGCTGCTCCCATTTGATTACTTATGAAGCCAGAGTGCACTGACCAGGAGTGCACTGACCAAATCCCTCCTCTTCCAGTTTCTCCATCAGCTAGAGCATATCATGGGCACTGGGCGTGCAACAGGCAGTTTGGAGGGGGAGCAGCAAGACTTGAAACTCTGCTCCTGGCCTCATCACTATGCAAAGACACCCCAGGACCTTCAGAAGTGCTGTGCTTCCCAGCACCACTCTTCCCAACAGCTGGAAGCTCTCCACCATGTTTAAAGCTCTTTTTCCCCACCCCGTGTCTCAGAGCAGAGCACCAGCCTGGACACAGAGCCATGCAGGTGCATGGATGCCCACCCACCTGCCCTCTCCAGGGATGCTGTGCCTGGGAGGTGTGAGTGGGAATATCTCCTGCTGTATTCAGCTTGGCTGGCTCAGCCAGCCCCTTGCTCTGCCTGCTCTCAGCCTTGGGGAGGGTAGTACAATGAACCAGCCAGCCAAGTCAAACACTGGGAGGTCAAACTCTGCCACACAGCCTCTTGGAGACGAGACACGAGCCCAGGGCAACTCCACTTGTCTCCTGCTATGGGGGCATCTCACAGAGCCCTGCAATATCCCAGCTCCAGCATTTGCTGCCTCCCTCCCAGGAACCAGGATTTTGCAGCCTGGGTGGGAAGAAGGTGCTGGGGTGGGTTAGTCCCAGTGCAGAGCACAGCCCATGTTCCCTGGCAGTGCCCTATGTAGGGCTTCAGAAAGCATCTATCTTCATTAACTTGTCAAATTAGGAAATTGAGAGCTGCCAAAAGTGTAGCAAAGATTGGAGGTGGATTTTATAGCAAGCCCTAGGATCTCTCACTGTTTGTCCAATCTAATTTCTTCATCGCTGTTGTCCTAAAAGAATCATTAAGGAAAGAGAGGGAGAAGTGGTGAGATGAACACATGAACAGTTTCCAGCTGAAAGCACCTCCTTTCCCTGTGCTGAGAGGGTTTCTATCAAGCTACTGGAAATCAGTAATTTTCCTCTGTCACAGTCATGTTTGTGTTTTAAGACAACTCTTAATCTTCATCCCCTCTGGCCAACCCTGCTGTAGAAAGAATTAAAAAAGCTATTTCTTTTGTACTCCCATCAGCTGGAAAGCAGAGCATTGCCTGAGCCCCTTCCAACCTGCAGAGCTTTTGTGTTCCTTGCTCTGAAGTATTAACTTATACTACTGAGTGCACCAGCCTGTCCTGAACCTGCCACACTAAAATAAAAGCACACAGAAGACCAAGCAAAGCCTGTAGCATGAAACAGTTTGAAATGGAAGAGGTTTAATGTTCTCCTCTGCAGCCATCAAGCAGCATTGCCAAGACACAGCACACACCATGAAGCACCTTATCCTCTACATGCTCCCCTCATGCCCTTCTGCAACACTACTCTCCAACAGCAATAGGTGAAGGAGAACATCTCAAGCCCCTGCAGCAGAGATGAAGCCCTAAATGGTCCAGCGGCTGCAACAGCAGGGAGAGAACAAGCTGTCTGATTAGTCCATGCCATTGCTGCTGGAGAACCAGGGGGAACAACCAGAGCTCAGGCCCTGCCTGCTGCCAGGAGCCATCTTCAGCCCTGGGAAGGCACAAACCAGCACAAGAAGTGTACACTCAGCAGG